ATTCTTCTGAATTCTTGACTGCCGTCTCCATTCTGATCAATCTTTGGTCTAAGGTATGGATACTCTTTATTTCAATTTCCTCATTATCTAGGTTGAACTTATGTAGATCCTCTGTGGTCTTTATTTTTGTTTTCTTTATGTTCAGCAGTAAGCCTGTTTTTGCACTTTTTTTCTTTTACCTTCTTTAGTAATTGTTCCAAATATATGATATTTTCTGATAGCAATAGAACAAGGTACTGAGAGTTAAATGAATAATCAGGGAGCAAATACAGGCTATCTATAAAAACCTAAATGGCCTAAGACCTGTGATGTGACTAACCGCTCTCCAATATGGTGGCAACAGCAAAGCCTTTGTTGTTCACTTTTTTTGTTCACTTTTGGGTCCCTTTGCATTATAACATTAGGAAAGCTAGTAATGAGGGCAAGGAGTGTTTTAGCTGAGGCACTCAGCATAGGAAATGAACTCTTCAGAGATTTATAGGGTAGCTGAGACCCTGTTTCCGCTTTTTGTTTTATTTCATTGTTGGATGAGACACTCATTTGTTCTGTAAAATCATTTGATTTATTGAATTATAGTAACACTTAGCATAAGTGGAACATTGAATGAAGTGTTGCTGTGTGGAATGTACCCATTCAGTGTTCCAGTAAAAAACACAGTGTTCAGTGTTCCAGTACCTTGTTTTAAACTGTGTTTCCTGCATCTATTTATATCTGAACTCTTGAAGGATCCACTCTCACCTCTCATTTTTGAAAACAGGGGGAGTGGTTTATGTTTCACTTTGTGTTCAAAGGCTTTCCCATACATCCTTTTGTAACCCTTACAACAAGCTTGTAAAAGAGTTTGCTTAAGACTAAAAATCAGTTTATGGCTGAAATGAGATTCAAATTAGTGACCTCTTGAATCATAGATCATTATCTTTGTCTAAGTGATATGTTAACTCTCAAGATAACTTTGACCCAATGGATGGAAATGAATTTTAAGTGGTGGACAGGGATACTGCACTATTTATTTTTTATAATTTGAAAAAATTATTAACCACATGTTTGTAATTATTATGAGCAGAACTTGGTCCTTGATTACATACTCTTAAATGCTGGAATTGTGAATTCTATATTTAAATGTATGTAATATCTTTCCCTTGGTTTGTGGCCACTGTGTCAGGTCAGTCACACAGAGATCAACTACCACACTAAAAGTAATATCTGGGAGTAAGTGAAATAAAACCAATCATTAGAAGAAAAACTTCCCCCCACATCCCCCACACCACAGTATTGTTGTTGCTGCGTGCTTTCAAGTCATTTTTATTTATGATGAACCTAAGTTGACCCTATCATGACATAATTTGTTTAGAGTAGGTTTGTCCTTACCTTCCTCTAAGGCTGAGAGAATGTGACTTGCCCAAGATTACCCAGTGGGTTTCCATGTCTGAATGAAGATTCAACTCTGGTTTCTCAGAGTCCTAATCCAACACTCAAATTACAATACCACACTGTATAACTCAGAAATGAAAGCACTGAGAACAGTTAACTATTTGGAACAGTGAATTTATGTTAGGAAGATGATTTTAAGGTGAGTGTGTCTGGGAAAGAGGCTAGAATCCTATTGGTTAGTCTCAATTGGAGTGTTTAATTAGAATATTTATATCCCACTCTTCATCATGAACTGGAGTACAAATAAAAGGATTAGGACCATTGACAGTTTTGAAAAGTGTGTTAACATAGGTAAATCCCATAGATTTACTCTAGTTGGGACTAGCAATTAGATTCAATCTAGAGTTCAGACATCTTTTCACTATAAAAAAAACAAGAAAACAAAAAACTGGGCATTAGCAATTGTAGCACCACCACCATCGCCACCCCATATTTAGAGGAACATGTGGGAGTAATAATATCTTCAGCACTATTAAAGAACATAGGCTGGAGCACGATGTCACGTAGTGATAGATGACTCTATTCCAGAGGAATGATGTCCCAAATCACTTGGGCCTTTAGAGGTTAATGAAAATCTCTCTCTCTCTCTCTCTCTCTCT